AGAACTCCAGGTAATTTCTTGTGTGGAGCCAGCCGCTGGTGAACATCAGATCAGTTACCAAGTGTTGGTTTGCAGGTATCAGGTTGACTGAGAACTCGTAACCAGCGGGATCCACCAAGTAATATAAGAGAATAATAACTCGGCTGTAAAACTGGGTGGCAGTTGTGCTATGTATATGTCACGAATTTGCAGAAGTTAGAATTTATAGACTGGCCACTGGATGGGGTCCCAGTGGCTTCATGGTTTACGAGCTTGCTCACAATGTGACCTGGCAGGTCCTGGGTTTGAAACCTAATGGTGGGTGTGTACTGATAAGGAGTCTCAAACTAGGAGGAGGTTTTCCAATGGTTCTCTAACTGATATTCAAATTTAACAAGGGAAATCTTTGAACAGGAACAAGCGTCTTTAATAGTTTCTCCTTCAAGTTTTACACCTTTCCTGTTAATACGTCAGAATCAGTGATATGGTGGATAGAATCAAATAGGATAGAATTAAGAATTCACCGGCCACTGATTTGCAGCCCTTGTATCTGAATGTTCTAGGAAATTGATCTCGTAACCGAAAGGTTCCTGGTTCGATTCTTGGTGCAGTTATGGGCGCACTTTGCTGAAGAGTCCCCACATGGGACGATTGCATTAAACCATAGAATATTAGGCAGTTAATTCTAATATTGATTTATATGCATGACGCAGATGAGGTGAAACGTGCTTGTTGATATATTGCAATGAAAAATACATAGTATCTGCTTCATATGAGTTTAGGCAATCACAAATAGTAGAACTAATAATGCGTTAATGTTAACAAGCCTTTTCAAAAGGGATTAAGAGGCACAGAATACATTGGTGGTACAGTGGTAGAATGTTTACAAGCCAAGTGATCCGGGTTCGATTCCCGGCCTGGTGAAGAGGGAAGGTTGAGCTTGAGACTAGCAACCCCACCGCATGAAAAATGTAGGACCAACGGTACAAAACTTCCAAAGCTCTATGTTCCACTCGGCGCGCAAAGAAATGAATAAAGACGGGCAGAGGAATTATTAGTTAAAGTGTAGGGGGGATGTAATAAAACTTGAGGAAGTACTTGAATTTAAATGATCCTGTGAAGCTAGTTGAATAAATCATAGACAGAAAACTTCACCTTTTCGGTGTAGTTGTATTCTCTGAGCTGGGTGGTTTACTTGCTTTTCTAGGCAACATCCTCAGTGCATACTTCACTTTGTTGAAGTGAGCTTTTAGAATTCTCCACGAGTTTATTAGTCATCTCTCTTGGTAACCTTGAACGTGGTTGGTTGCTTTTGTGTGTTTTTACACCTTCTAAGCTACTTGTATTGGTATTGATTAATGGTTTCCTTGACCTGAAGTTTAACTTTTTGTGCATAAGATCTATGTCAGTGTATCTATTGACTGCCGATTCACTAAAATACCAAGCTTCTGAAAATTCTCTAGCATTTTTTGTGTTTCCTCGGTCTAATATTTGAACGTTGATTGTTCCAGTCGAATTGATGTCCATAGTTGTCTGTAGGCAGTAATATGAGGGAGTGAATATCATGTCTTTTGACGGTTAGTTTATGATCATGGATACGAAGATGAAGGGGCCAACCCTTATACCTCTGTCTACAGATTCCAGTTATATTGGGAAAAAGAGGAATCTATTCAATAAATAATGCTACCTCGTCTCCTTCAATGTTCATCAGAGTAAACCCTGGATGCAACCAGATACAGCATTGAAGGTAATCTACCGAGTACTGAATCGTAATCTGGCTAAAGATATGCGTGCGATTACATCTTCTAGGTACATCTGAAGCTGTACAAACCAATGAGAATAGTATTCAAGTGTTGATTTTGCAGGGATTTGATTGGTGACAGCATTTTACCATGAGCTGACATCGGTTAGAGAACTATAGGAAAACCACCAGGGAGTACTGGACAGCTGTTTCGTCCTAGTTTGATACTCCTCAAAAGTACGCACCCACCGCCAGGGTTCGATTTCAAAACCTTCCTGTTACAAGTAGCTTAGTGGTCTTCGAGCTAGCCTTGTCACCAGAAGGTGCTGGCTTCGACAACCCGGTGGAAGCGTCTTGATGAAGAGTCCCAAACTAGTCTGATGAAACAGCTGTCTAGTACGCTGTGTTGGTTTTCCAATAGTCCTCTAACCAGTGTCACCTCATGATAAAATCCTGTAACGAATAAGAATAGGCGTAACCTTTGCATACAAACAGTACACGCAGTTTATATATCTGCTTTTGTCTACTGTATGGTCAGTACAGTCTCAATCATCTCGTAACTTCATCTCTGTCTCTCTCTCCCAACTTTAATATCTCTTCTGTATCCTTCTTACTTCCTTTCACACGGCCTGGTTTCTATAGAGCAATTATTATTACGATTATTATCATTATTGCTATTTGTTATCGCCCAAGCTCAACGTATTTGTTTCCTCTATTCACATTTCCTTATATTCTGCTACAACTTATAATATCGTAATTATAGATTTACGAACATACAGTTCAGTAATTCTGTCTCACCTCCTCTCAGTAACTGTATATTGTTTTCGTCATGCATTTAAATCACTATCAAAAACAAACTGCCTATTTTACCATTTCATAGTTTAAGCCAATCCTATTTAATTCTGATTTGACTAACGTCTTGTACAACCTGAAGTAGGAAGAAGTTTTTTTTAAAACAATTGCTCGCTTAAATATGTCTTCTTTTGTGTCTATCAAATGTTTGTCATTTCTTCTGTTCCCTGTGGACTTTAAGCTCGAGACCTTGAGGTTTTACTAATTGCAGTGCTTTTTTCTGACCTGGGTAGGGTTGGTAACCTAACACCCAACCCCCTCCCCTCTTTCCCAGACTTACTCTCGACCAAACGAGGTTTTGGAATCCGTTGATGGGGAATCGGACGCTGAGCCGCATTCATGATTGACGAGAGTTCTACTCCAGTCTACTCTGTGTGCGCGTGGATTCCGCTTCCACTGATGATACCCGGTTTATGCAGACACAGTGAACATGGTGAGCCTAGTGTGTCCTATCGGGTAATGTCTTAACGTTTGGAACGATGGGCAGCTGGGTTGGAGTCTCTCAGTGGGAACTACAGCATCCATCACTGACTTTGGTGGTGGAGCTGATGAGTTCCGAATAGGATGAAATGCTCTTTCGCGGTTCCACTGATATCCATGATCACGCAAAATAACAACTTTTAGTAACATTAAGCCTAAAGGACTTTGTTCAGTACAATTCACTAAAAGAGAGTTTTGCGTAAATCGGATATCACCTTAAAAGCCTTTATTATTACTGGATCTATTAATTTAAAGCTTGTAAATGAGTTAGTCGTCAGTCTCTGTAACAGTAGAGGACGAAAGAAACTTGTTAAAGGAATGTTTGATTGCATGAAGGATTTCATCATGAGCTGACATCAGTTAAAGAACCACTGGAAAATCTGGGAGTACTGGACAGCTGTTCTGTCCTAGTCTGGGACTCTTCACAGTACGCACCCACCACCACAGTTCGAATCCAGGACCTTCTGGTTACAAGGCGAGCTCAAAGACCATTTAGCCACTGGGACCCGATCCGATGTTTCTCCGCAACGCTGAATCATTTGCTTTCTATAACGTCAAATCTACTCCCAGTTATTTGACATATTTATGCCAATCGACGTCTCTTTATATACTACTTATAAATCTTATCAGTAGAACACTCCACAAGTCTACATTATTTTGCCTAAACTATACAAAAGCTAACATCCTGTTATTCCGTGTTTTTCTGGTTACACAGAAATAGAAAAACGGAACACATCTTTTAAGTTTATAGATTGGTATTTTCTTTCCGATGTTTATGTGACAATATTATTGATTTTCTTCTAGGTTAATAGATTGTTTTTTTACACTGAGGTTCGTCGAATTGAAGTCAACCGTTTTATTGATTAGCAGTGGCTAAATAGTGTATGCGTGTGTGTGTGTGCGTGTGTTGATATCACAAGACACATTGAGTATTTTTCCCCAAATAGAGAAAGTATTCCCAAATCTCCACTATCTTTGATTGTACACTAGTTAGTAACTAGTATAGTGCGTCTGGCTGGCTGACTGGCTGGTTTCAACCTAGAACTTTCTTTGCACAGATGTATAGCAGCTCCAGTTGCGACTCTCCCTCCATGTACTACAAACAAGGCAACAGAAGAGAGTAAAGAGAGATTCAACAAAAGAGATAATAAACAGAAGTGTGAAATAGGGAAAAACAATAGTAATGTGGGAGAACAGTAGAGTTTTATTGGATACTATAAATCACAAAGAGTGGATGCATCTGCACCATCACTGAGAACGATTTTGAGTTATTATCAGGAATTTTCTCAAGCCTTCATTGGTTGGTTTTTGCCATTCCGAGGACTAGTCCAGTCATTTGTTTGGTGCACACTGATTTCTGTCAGTCAAGTTTGTAATTTGGTCACCATTCCAGCTGGCTCACCATCACAGTGCACTTGGAATTGTTGATGTTAGATATTCAGAGGCAATCAGCAGAAAGCCCCGCTTGACATAAGTTTCGTGCTAGTTGGCACTCGTCAGTCTGCAAGGTGTATCTTCAACCTTAAAGGAACTCATGTCCCTTCTGAGATTCTAACCTGTATTACCCAATGCTACAGTAAGAGACGTTACCGCCAATAAGCTATTCTGGCTGACTAGAAGAAGAGGTCAATCACAAGACCGAATAGCTCAGTAGTAACCTTTCTAACTCCAGAAATGGCTGACACGGATTCGAATATCAGAAGGGAAATGAGTTCTTTCAACAATGTAGATACGCCTTACTGACTAGTGACTGCCGACTAGAACGAAACCTAGGTCAGGCAAGGCTTCCTACCGATTGCCTCCAACCGTCTATTATCTCCACAACTGTCTCCTCTTTAAACCAATCTACCAAAACAGTGGTAATTGATTGCTTTTTTGTCATATACTAGTATTCATCGCTGAATTATCTATTGATTCTCTCTGTCGTCTTCTTATTCCCCTTTTACAGACGTCTTGGTGTATCTTATGTACTGGCTACTGGTGGAGCTTTGGGCACTGCTCTGAGCATCAATAAACAAGTTGAGGTGAGACATTTTTCTCTTTTAGCGAATTTTTGTTTGCTTTCCTCCTCTTGTTTCTGTGTGAACATCTTCTTTTTTGCATTGTGTTCCTTCATTTTTATTGGTGAAAGTTATTTTAGCACATTTTATTATAAACAAATTCCACGGTGACTAGTGGGGTCCACGTAGTCAGATGGGATGACCAATACTTTCTTATGACATTGTTTGGTGGTGACCCTAAAAATTCCCGAAATGAATTGATATGCCATTGAATTCTGTGCTAGTGAGCTCATCGTGTAGACTGAAGGTCTTGGGTTCGACCCTTTGCGGTGCGATCATGGGTGTGTACAACTGAAGCCCTCCAAACTAGAACGAAACAGCTGTCCAGTACTCCCTGGTTTTCAGAGATTCTCTAACTGTTATCAGTCTACGAATTGAGATTATTGAACGATTTCTTAGTTAGTATTCACTCGACAGGTTCGTCAATTGAGGTGTTTTGCTGTGATCATTGCCCGCCCAATTGTAAACTGTGTTGGTTGAAAATGACAGTTGGCGTTGGAGGGTACTTCCATCCGTGGTGCTGTCGAATTTATCACAGTAAATTATGTGTGATGGCTACTGTTTTGGAGACTTGGGGAGTGTATAAGAGTTATGTAATTGTTCATAAAGCCTTTGATTAAAGACATCCAATATCAAATTTTATACAAACTTTTTTCCTTGTGTCCGAAGGGTTAATTACGACCGAAGGGCGTGTGTACTGCTCAGCAATTTACTCTATCCTCCTTCGTGGCTGTGAGAAATGGCCATTGAAAGTGAAAGACATTAAAAGGCTAGCTGTCTTTGATTATAGGTGCCTGAGTTCTATCTCCCTTGTTAAGTGGTATAATAGGGTGAGCAAAATTGAGGTTAAGTTTTGGTCGAGTGCTAGGTAAATAAAGAAAATCAATCGACGAAGTTGTGAGGATGTGCGTTACACATGCTTAACCATCCATTGCTTTCCTTGACAGTCAATGCTATCTGACATAGGATGGATCAGTTTGGTAAAGTGTTAGCTAGTGATGGTCAAACCAAAACATGGCCTCACCTCACAAAGCGAGAGAAGAGAATCGAGACATTCAACAAAAGAGGGATAATAAACAGAAGTGTGAGTGAGGCAAAAAGAATGGCAGTAATATAGAAGAACAATAGAGTTTTATTGGGTATTATAAATCACAAGGAGTGGATGCATCTGTGCCATCACTGAGAACGATTTTGAGTCAAATCACTAAGTGTATTCACTCGTTGGCTCTAACCATAGATAGGACCCGAAACTGCCAGCCAGTTTGCACCTCCCTACGTGGCTGGCTGGTTTAAACTAATTGGTGGATTTCATTGACTGATGAAGCCATGTTTTGGTTTGACCGTCTCTAATTGTTTTCCATCATGACCCTATGTCAGCTAAAATTGCCTGTTGTCGAGGAAGGCGATGACCAGGCATACGTAACACATGTCCTAACATGTCGCGATCCCTCACACCGGAGTGTGTGTGTGGCTCGTATCTGGAAAACTGGTAAATCACTTCCCTTTCATGCTGATTCGGTATTACATCTCATTGATGTTAGGATTTATTATTAGTGTTCTCCTGAATTCCAAGTGGAATACAGGGCTTCAGTAGCACTTTGCAACATTCTCTGCGGTCCTCTCTAACTGCCCCCACGATTGCCCATAATCTCTCATCTCCTTCTTGTGCGATCTCCTCATTGTTACCATCTGACCAACGATCAACTCGTCGTTTCCTATTCGGGGTCCATTCGAACGATGGCCTGGCTGGCGCGCGATGACATGCGACAGCCTCCTCAGTAGCGTGTGTCCAATCCATCTCCGTTTTCTCCTACATATTTGTTGTTTGGTCTATTCCCAGAGTTTCTTGTGATAAATTCTTCCTTGCTGGCCATTTGATCCTCAGTATGGAGCCAGCGAAGGCAGCTGTTGGAAATGCTTTTGGTGACGGGAGCGCCAAGTTTCTGACCCATATAGAAGAAATGACTGACTAACTTAACGCCTGTGATGAAAACCCGAATCTTGATCTTTATGGTGGCTAGGTGTAGAAGACTTCCAAACTTATTTCAGATTGATGAATTTGTACCCTACCTTTCTCATTCTACCCTTGATTTCTTCATCTCTTCCACCTGTAGTTGAAATGATGCTTCCTAGATAAGTGAGTAAAGAAAGTGACCTCGTTCAAATTTCTCCTGTTAACACCGAATGGTGTTTGTTGTTGCTTTCGTTGTTCGGGGAGTATCGTCAACACCTCCCTCTTCTCTATGTTCACCTGAATTCATGTTCTGCCTTCTCTGCTTCTTCAGCTAGTTTGTTTTGCTTTCATCTGTGAGTCTTCGAGTTTATGTGACATTAAACATAAAAAATCATCCGCAAAATCCATATCTTCTAGAGTCTTCTTATCGATGGTCCAGTGTAGTCCTGTCTTTTCACTGCAGTGCACAGTCTGACGCATAATCCAGTCCCCTACACTCGTATTTACATCAATAATATTTATTATTTTCTCTCCTTTGCTTTCCTAGTGGTGTAACGACAGAAGGCAAGAGTCAGGCAACAGATCATTTATTAAGGAAATCAACGCATATTTATATATGTTTTCATGTACATTACTATGGATATTTAAGTAAACAAACACAGTCTTCCGATTGGTTGTTTCTCACGTAAAGTTAATCTTTCATCTCTTTGTGACTGTTTCTTGAATGTCAGATCATCTATATGTTAATTGTATCCGCCTACGCAAAGTTTGCTGTGGTCGGTTTTGAATCAGTCTTTGTTCATATTTTCTCACAACAAATCTTGAGAACGTAAACATTGACGTAAATTACTGTCTACCAATTTGGCTAGTAGAGAGCTCTCACCACACTCGTCCCCCCGTCAAAGAATTGCAACTGAAGTTGGTTCGGTCTTCTTGGTTCTTGGGGCTTTGCTGTTTTGTCTTGCTGTCTGGAATCTCGGTGCTCGCGGATGTTCACCTGTTTCTATGTGTTTACCATTGCGATTGTGTCTGCGTAACCCCATCTCAACGTGACCATATATGGTCCTTCCCAATTTGGAAACTGTTTGCCTGACTCTGTCGCACATTTGTAGGTACTTCGCCTCACACTTTCATATGCTGCCTTCTCCCGACCTCCCAGCAGTGTCCCAAGTAGCAGCCTCATCGCTGACAGCTCTCACCACAGTGGAACATGGAGTCTAAGGCTTAATCTTTGAAGTTTCGGAAGCCGTGATGTGGTCTTTTTCTACAGGGTAAGGTTGCCAGTCCCACTGCCCCCTTTCCTTCTTTCTCAGATAAGGTTCAGGAGTGCTTCAGACGGGAACCGAAGTGGGACTACGTGCCTGGTCGAAGCGTATGACATCTAATACTGAATCACCAATGCCCTGGTATTTGTGTCACAATATTTTTGTTATGAAAATCAATAATTAGACTAAACAGTATTTTTACATAAATATACAATGTTAAGCTTTATGTACGGTGATCTGTGAACTAGTAAAGTGAACAAGTAACAATTAATACTTGACATTTTTTTCATCACATTTTTCATAGAATTTGCTGCATATTTTGAAAATATATGTGAAAACTGTCTGTCACTGTGTTTTAGGAATTTTTTAGTAGGTCAAATTTTAATTTATCAATTGTGAAATATGAATGCTATTGTCCAGATGTCAAATCGAAGTTTAGAAAAATAGATTTGAAAAAAGAAACTACTTGGCTGTAGTTCGTTTTCTTGAGTTCCGAGTGGAAGGTAGGTGTCTCAGGGGGGGTATATCCAACTATCGACCAAAGGGCGTGTGTACTGTCCAGCAGTCCGCTCCGTCCTCCTTTATGGCTGTGAGACCTGGCCATTGAGTGTGGAAGACATGAAAAGACTGGCTGGCTGTGTTTGATCATAGGTGTCTGCGTTCTATCTCCCGCGTGAAGTGGTATAATAAGGTGAGCAATATTGAGGTTAGGCGTCGAGTGCTAGGTAAGGAGGGGAAATCAGTCGACGAGACTGTGAAATTACATCGACTGAGATGGTTAGGACATGTGTTACGTATGCCTAGCCTAGTCATCGCCTTCCTCGACAACAAACAATGCTAGCTGATATAGGGTCAGGCTGGAAAAGAGCTAGCGGCGGTCAAACGAAAACATGGAACCAGTCAATGAAATCTACAACAGTTAGTCTAAGCCACGTAGGAAGATGTAGACTTCCTGGTTGGGGTCCTCCTGACGATAAAAACCAATGGTTGCAAACAATTGGTGACATGGCTCAAAATCGTTCTCAATTGGAGGCGCAGATGCATCCACTCCTTGTGACTTATGATTTCCAATGAAACTGTTTTGTTCTTCGTTATTACTATTCCTTTGTCTCACACCTCTGTTTACTGTCTGTAATATGCATTTCTCCTACTTTCTTCTCTTCCTTTGTGGGCTACAAGGAGGGAGTGTGGCGACTTGAACTGGCGCACATATGTGCAAAGTTCTATGTCGAAAACAGACAGACAGGCAGTCTCAGGGGGGTACATCTATATTTCATTCGGTACTCTAGTATCATATTCAGCTGGCTGTCCGACTCTGCACAAGATTACTGTTCTTCTCCGTGTTATTCTGGGACGCTAAACTATAGGGCCTGGAATGTGACTCCACTCATTTTTCCCCTCAGTGTATGTCTAATCCAACTGCCTTTCCTTCTGCATATTTGTTGGACAGTAGGCTCTTGACTGGTTCTCTGTCAGATTTCCTAGTCTGTCTGTCTGCTTTCAACAAATAACTTTGCACAGATGTGCAGCAGTTCAAGTTGCCACATTCCCTCCATGTAGCACACGAAGCAAGAGAAGAAAGTAAAAGAAATGCAAAATAGAGACATTAAACAGAGATATAAGACAAAAGAAATAGTCATATCGAAGAACAATATAGTTTCACTGGGTATTATAAGTCACAAGGAGTGGATGCATCTGCACCAGCCATTGAGAACGATTTTGAGCTATCCCGCGGACTCCAACCAGTCACGAAGTCTACAACTTCCTACGTGACTGGCTTAAACTAACTGTTGTGGATTTCATTGACTGATGAAGCCATGTTTTGGTTTGACCACCACTGGCTTTCTCTTTTACAACCTGACCCATCGTATGTCAGCTAACATTGCCTGTCGAGGAAGGCGATGTCTGGGCATGTGTAACACATGTCCTAACCATCTCAGTCGATTCAGCTTCACAGCCTTATCGATTGATTTCCCCTCTTTACCTTTCCTAGTTGCTAATCTTTTCTGTCTATGTCTGATTTTCAGCACGGAGAGAGGGTAGCTGTAAATAGAAGTTTACAGTAGCTGGCTGTTGGATATTCTTTTGTTGATGCGCATGCCAAGCAATGTCTTAACATTAGTGTTCAGTAGATTTCGCATTCCTGTTTCTTATGATAAGTACTATAGATCTACAGGCTGTGATTCCAGAGTAATGAACACACATCTTTCCTTCCCGATCCTGCCTGGCTGCACAGCTAAGTAAAACATGTGACTTCCTGTCTGTTTTTCCCATTTTTAGTGATTGGTTACAGAATTTCATCATGAGCTGACATCCGATTAGAGAATCGCTGGAAAACTAACAGGAAGCCCTGGACAACTGTTTCATCAGCCTAGTTTGGAACTCTTCATCAGTACGGACCCAACACTGAGTTTCAAACACCAGACCTTCCGGTTACGAGGTGACAGAGTAGACCATTAAGCCACTGAGACCCAATCAAATGACCAGTCTATGAATTCCAGATTCTGCGAATTCGTGACAACTTCCAGCCGATGTCACGGGCGAGTAACCATTCTCTTAACAGACTTGGGCCATTGGACTGAGTCCCAGTAGCTGAATGGTCTACGAGTTGGTCTTGTAACTAGAAGACCCGTCGTTTGAACCCTGGCGGTGAGTGCGTACTTCTGGGGGGCCCGAAACTAGTCTGATGAAACAGCTGTACAGTGCTGTCTAGTGGTTTTCTAATGGTTCTCTAATCGATGTCAGCTCATGATGAAATCCTATAACCGATCAAATCTCTGCAGTCTAACATTTGAATAGTGATCAGTATTTCTTTGTCTTCAGTCGGATATTTTCACCACTTATATCTTCACTTCCTCTTCTCTGTCGAGGATATTCATTATCCTAAGGGTGTCTTGTAAAATATAAATGCTAAAATATTGATTTCTTTAAAGTACCAAAGCTCTTTGAGGACAGCAAACAACTATCACCTTCAGGTTCAGCTATAAATCTTCTCCACACCCCTGTTGCACTCCCCTTATACATTTTAACATCATTAAGATTGAAAGTTGTATGTGTGTTCTCTAAGACCTGGTGAATTCATTATCTTACTTACAGAATTCCAATTCGTTATCACTGAAAAAGGTGTCTGTTGTAGGGATCACTTATCAACTGTGGAAGAGCTTAAAAAAATTCTGCTTCTTTTGACTTTAGGTAATTTAGTGATTGGTGACTAGCAGTAGAATCCAGAACAATGCGTATTTCGCTTTATTTGGGACTCGTCGACCGGCTGGATGTGCTTGCATTCCCCAGTTAGTCAGTGATAGTATTCCCACTGAGGCTCGAAACATGTCAACAGAGGCCGCTGGCTTCCAGTGGCCCGTTGCATGGTCAAGTCCACTGCAGTCATGGATATCATCGTTGGTGGTAAACAGCCTTGCCTTACTTCTGTCTTCACCCTAAAGGCTTCATTGACCTTTGTGTTGTAAATTACTAGGTGTGTAACATTATTACATAACTGTTGAATGAGATTTGTATGGGTTTGAAGCATCCAGTAGTGTTAAAGCAGAAGACAAATTACTTCTCGATCGCTGCTGTTGAACATAAATTTTAAAATTGACTAAGTCGAAGTGGAGATTTTACTACCAAGCTGCGTTTAGTTCTCTGATGACGAGTAGCTATGGAGTTTGATCAGAAAATAATTTGCTTTTCCTGAATCCAGCTTTTCCGTCACGCAGTTCTGCATCCAGAGCTTCTTTTAGTCTCAACAAGATGATACGGTCTAACATTTTGTTCGGGGTAGCAAGAGCACGGTTTTGTGTCGAAGAAACTGCGTCTCTAGTTTCTTAGGGTTGAGATGCAGTCTATCTGATTTTCGGTGTATTAGCCCGGTGAAACCCATGTCGGCTAGTGTATATCTTTGTTCTTGTACCCGCTGCCTGCAGTCAGCAAATCATTGAAGGCGTAGAAGTCTTCGATAAGTTCTCTGAGAGCTCCCTGACCCCTGATGAATTCTCCTCGTACGTTGCTTGCTCCTAGTTTGACATTCGTATCACTCATTAGGATTTTGTTATCACCACATGGGATCCTGTCCATTATTGTTCCCAGTTATATGTGGAAATCCTCCTTCTTCTCTTCGTCTGCTTTGTTCATAGGAGCATAGCGCTGAATAAGTGTAATTTTCCTACCTTTTGATCTGAATCTTGCTGTCATCATTCTGGAGGAGATTGGTTTATGCTGCATAAGAGCCTTCGGTGCTATTGGTGACATCATGATAGCTTCTCCGTCAATATGTTCGTGATTGTTGTCTGGGTGACCGAAGTAGACTATCTACTCTTCAGTTAACAATTTAGAAAGTCTGCTCCCATTGCGTTTGCTTTCGCACTTTCCGACCACTTCTACGCCTTCTATCTTCGCATCCCTTTGGCAATCTCAGTAGCCTTCCTAACTTTGAAAATTATGCTGTGTTTATTTTTGCTTTCATCATTTGGAGACGCATCTGTTGACTGACTTCCTGATAACTTTCACTAGCCCGCGTCATTTCATCTCTCCTATTCCAAAGAATATGAGTTTATTTTTTATATTTTTGCCTGTGCTTTAGAATCTCTGTAACGATAAGGTTGATTTTCTGAGGTAGGGTCACTACCTCCACGACCGACATTTCCTCTTTTGTCGGGCTTCGGACTTGCTAGTGAACTAGTGGACTAGTAAATTAATTCGATAGATGTCTTATTACCCTTAGGAACTTAGTAAGTTTTGTCGACAGATTTTAGTAACAGTTTTCTTTTGCAGTTTCATATATATATGTGAACTTATTTTGATTGGACACTAGTCAGTAACTAGTGTGATGTGTCTAGTCCTTTCTTTGGTGCAGACTGAATTTTATCAGTCAGTCTGGTTTGTAATGTGACCACCATTCTAGGTAGCTCGTCATCACGGTACACACATTGATTTGATGATATTAGATGATGGTTGGAGGCAATCGGCAGGAAGCCTTGGATCTAGGTTTCGTGCTAGTTGGCACTCTTCAGCAAGGCGTATCTGCAACCTTGAAGGAACTCATGTCCCTTCTGAGATTCGAACCAGCATCATCCAGTGCTGCAGTCAGAGACGTTACCACTGAGCTATTTGGGCTCCCGATTAACCTCCTGTAGGACTGTATTGGATGCTTTGACCGGACACTAGTAACTAGTGTGACATGTCTAGTCCTTTCTTTGGTGCAGACTGAATTCTATCAGTCAGTCTGGTTTGCAATGTGGCCACCATTCTAAGTATCTCGCCATCACGGTGCACATTGATTTGATGATATGAGATAGTTGGAGGTAATCGGCAGGTTCGAATCTCTGAAGGGACATGAGTTCCTTCAAGGTAGTTGCAGATACGCCTTGCTGAATGATGAGTGCCAACTAGCACGAAACCTAGGTCAAGCAAGGCTTCCTTCCGATTGCCTCCAGCTATCTAATATCATCAAATGTGTAAATTCAATTTTTCCGCATTTTAATTTTCTTATTGACACCTTTTATTTCATGCATGTTGAATAAGCCTTATATACATATATATTTTCTGTGCTTTTTATAAATTTTGTAGAAATTTCCCCCAATCGTTGGTCGATTTGTTCCATTCGTTGCTGTTTGTGCAGCTAATTGTATCAATATACCATGTATGCGAAGTTCAGAGCTCACTGAAGGTACTCCGGTATTGGATGAAAATGGTGAGAAATTAGGCAGATCGACAGTTGTAGGACGTAGAGCTATCAGTCAAGTGGTATTTTCACGTATATTAATGGCTGCTCCTGGAATGGGTAAGATATTTAATGATTGGAGTACCCCTTGTTTTTTATTATTATTGATATTAGCGTTTTGCAAATCTGTCTATGGGTAACAGTTAAATGACCTTGAATTGACCAATCAAATCGCTCAGCACTACAAATGAATACTTTCTCATGATCTTCGTTGCAAGTTTCACCCTAGCATCAATCGCGACCCTAACTTAATCCTACCCTAACCTTTACCCTGAATCAGGGTGAAACTTGCAACGCAAATTATGAAAAGCTTCATTTGTAGTACTCAATGATCTGATTGGTTGGTTGGCTCAAGGTCATTTGACTGTGGTGTCCATTCTTTTACCGTTGCCTTGTTTAAACATACTAGTGTTTGGAAAAGACTGAGGTTTCCCCCACTACTCACTCATATTTATGAAGTGTTGCATGATGGGACAGTTACGACTACTTTAGACGAAAGTTGATTGTTTGAACTAAAGGTGGGGAGATATAATAATAATAATAATAATAATAATAATAATAATATTGTGGTGAGAGCTGTCTGAAAGCCAAAATTGTAAACAACAATTTACGTCAATGTTTACATCCCGAATTGGAGTCATGAGAAAAAAACAAATAACAAAGCCTAACCTTGAGGAACTCAACAACCATTCACAGCAGACTTAACGTGGGCAAATACGATTCGCAGATATATGACAGAATAACTTTCAGCAAGAAAACAACCAATCAGAAGACGTTGCTTCTCTGCTAACAATAACGCCAATAATGATGTCCATAAAAATCTATAAATATCTGTTGATTTTCTGAATAAACAATCTATTGCTTGACCCTTGTCTTCTGTTGATACATTTTGGTATCTCTGCCTGCCGAAAAATGGAAAGCTTGTGCCCTGCAGTTTTTGATGGGGAAATATGGATCTTCGGGCAGGACTTTGAGGCTGTTGTGCATTTGAGTGGCGCTCAAGATCCGTCAGCCATGAGGCTGTACCTTGGATCGCTGCTGCGAAGTTGGGAGAAAGCAGCATGTGAAAGTGTGAGGCGAAACATCGACGAATGCTCCCCAGGGTCAGGCGAACAGCTTCCAAAGTGGGAAGGACCACACACTGTCACTGTGAGACAAGGTCACGTAGATACGATCACAAATGTAAACAAACGGGTGAACGTCAGCGAGCGCCGGAGTTCCAAACCACAAGACCAACGAACAAAGCCACCAGCACCAAGAAGACTGAACCAACTTCAGTCGAAAGTCTTTCACGGGTTGGGGGGGCGAATGTGGTGAGGGCTGTCAAATAGAATAGTAATTGACAGTAGATCCTTTGACATAGTTCTTTCTATGTGATCTGGAGTATAAAGCAGTCCACTATGTGATATCTCTTCTTTGCCTTCTTTGAGAAATACACGACGACATTCTGTTTGAATGCTAATTATAAAAAGTTCACGATTGCACCTTATAAACTCAGGAACGGTTTTCTCACGGATTGGGATAAGCTGCCATCCACTGAAGATAATCCTTTTTCTCATGTTTAGTAGACACTTACGAATCAACCGTTTTTAAATGTTTTAAATACTCGCCACAGTAAACAATACTACCAGAGGTCACACCTTAATAGATTTAAACAAAGCGAATCAGAGAAATGATATGCAATATATATCGATGGAGGTTTCTTTTGGTAGTTCAAGTTTCAAGCAGACCCCTCATGGTGTGTGTGTGTGTGTGATAGAGTTGGCATATATTACATCATCGCCAAATGTTGGTTTGTAAGCATGTGGTCGATTTCAATTTACTCATGAATTGACTTGAATTAAAAAACCATTGAGTACCCAAGGAACACTTAAGAATTTAATCTGGCGCTCACTAGTCACTGACTACAGGATGAAATTCCTCGAAGTTCTAGTGGGAAGTCATCATCAGTGGGGTCCTTGCGAAGACAGATATTCACCGATGACATTGTTTAATGGTCACGCTATATCGCGAATCGTCAGAAGTTAAAATTTATGGACCATTCATTGGATTCCATCGCAGTATTCGATTGGCATACTAGTCCTGCTTGTAACATAAAGGCCTCAGAGTCGAGCCCTGGTGGATTAATGGGTGTGTTTATTCATTTATTTATTTAAACGCAGAAAAACTTGGTACAATATGGCACAAAGAAGATGCGATACACAATAATAATAAAACAACATAGGTTAAAAGCAAAAATATAGGTGCAGAGAACGGATAAGTAACTTCATCTGGAAGGAAAACAGGCGTACTTAACAACTTCAAACAGTATTCGTCAACTATCACCAAGAAGGGAAGAAAGAAGTAAATGGCAGCACGTTCGCCATTGATTACTATTCTTGGCCATATCCGATAACGTTTCGAGCCATCGATTCGAGCTATCTCTCGGACTCCAACCAAGGAAACGTGACGCATCAACCAATGCTAACCTAGCACGAATATCCTTCATCCCACGACGCCACGTCATGGACTGACCACTCCTCCGCCTTTTCCATCCCGTCCAGAAGCCTCTGGGATAACATTCTCAGCAAATTTCCAAGCCATCAAAGCCGATATTTCCAGATGACGACACTCAATGAATGGTGACCTCTACTGTGTTCAAAGACACGTCGCCGAACCTCAGAATTACTCACGCGATGATGCCATCGAACGCGAGCAATCCTGTGGAGACAGCGATGGTCGAATACGCAGAGCCACCGCACAGAGAGGCCAGGTTTCATAGGGGGAGAGCAAGACAGCCCGCACCGAGGCATTGTATACCTGACCTTTGACAGCCAGGCTAACGTCGCGACGGCGCTAGAGGTGGCACAAGTTGATGTATGCCACCCTAGCCTTCATTATACGGTTGGAAATCTCATCCGTCACCCCTCCGCCAGCACTCATACAACTACCCAGGTACACAAACTTATCAACAAATTCAAGCGGTTCACCCGCAAGAGTGAGTGCAGATCAGGCTCCTGCCAATCTTGTAACAGTACTTTGCACTTAGACGGTGCAAAGCACATACCATACTTACAGACACTGATCGCCAACTGATTAAGTGCGATTTGGGCAGCCTGCATGCTATCGCACAGTAAGACGATATCGTCTGCATACTCGAGGTCGAAAAGTCTATCTCCAGGTAGCAGATCTACACCACCTTCACGCACATCCTTCAGAGCTGACTCCAGAATGTCATCGATGGCAAAGTTAAAGAGAAATGGAGAGATTGGGCAACCCTGTCTAACCCCACTGTTGGTTGGGAACAGTGGTGATAGTTGGTTGTATGCCCTCACTCTACCTGAGATGTTTCTGTATAGGGCTTTCAAGATGTTAACAAATTTCTCAGGTACACCTCTCTCTAACAGACAGTTCCAGAGCACAGTTCTGTCCAACGAATCGAAGGCAGCCCTAATGTCAAGAAACACAACGATCGTTGGCCTGCAATACGTGTGGCGGTGTTCCAACAACTGACAACACGCTGGTGTCGCTCGCTGGACACGTCGAGATGATATTTTCAGTAAAGATTTTATCATCATTCCAATTAATGAGAATGTTCACTGGATTGTTGCTACTGCTTGCTATCCTTGGATGGTGGGAATGCCGAAGGATGTGCATGCCGATGAAGTTGTTGGCCGGTGCAAATTGAAGGAAGAATTTTCTGATGTCGAGCATATTGAATTTCCCCAGAGTTTAGATTTATCAAATATTTATGCAGAATGTGTGCACAGAATTCCTATAGATGTTCAAAGTGAAGCATTTAATCGGTGGAGACGAAGACGTCTAGCCTGACTCCGGAAGAATGGTTACAATCCGAAAGTAATTCGTGCTCGACACGCTCGACGAAGGATGAACACATGATCAATGCATCCACGACCTGAACGCAACGCAGCCTGCTCTTCGCGAATCAATCCTTCACGTATTTTGCACAGCCTGCGAAGCAAGACAGCAGCCAATAATTTAGACGTGACTGGTAGCAGACTGATACCCCTATGGTTGTCACATGAATTACGTCGACAGAGTAAACAATACTATTAGCGGTCACACTTTAATAGATTTAAACAAAGCGAATCAGAGAAATTATATACAATTTACATTGATGGAGGTTTCTTTTTGTAGTTTCAAGCAGACCGCTTACTGGATGTGTGTGTGACAGAGTTGGCAGATATTATATCATCTCCAGATGTTAGTTTGTAAACATGTGATCGATTTCAACTTACTCATGAATTGACTTCAATTAGAAAACCATTGAGTACCCAAGGAACACTTAAGAATTTAATCTACCGGATGAAATTGCTCAGAGTTCTAGTGTAAAGTTATAATCAATGGGGTCCACCAGAGGTAGATACTCACCGATGACATTGTTTGGTGGTCAAGCTATATCGCGAAACGTCAGAAGTTAAAATTGATGTAGCATTGTTGTCCGTCCCAGTAGTTGATTGGCCTACTAGTCCTTCTTGTAACATGAAGGTCCTAGATTCGACCCCTGGTGGGATCATGGGTACGCGCGGGTGAAGAGTCCCAAACAGGGACGAAACTGGTGTCGACATTTTACCTAGGCTCATTAGTTGAAGATAGAAAAGGAGAGAAGTTGGGAATGTCGGAAAAGTGTCAATGGTTGTAAAATATGATGAGAGAAGCCATAGAAGCTTAGAACTACAAGAGAAAGTGTAGTATAAACAGTATGGAAATAGGAAATTAATTTATCTTTTCCTTTTCGACAGATTTTGAGTCATTTCATCTCACTGTCTTGTCGCCATTTACTTCTTCAGCTGACTGTTCCAATCTGGCTAAACAGATTTCTGTCCGATATTAACTGGTGGTCTAAACTTAATGGTCGTACGTTAAATCCCTGCAAATGTCAGACGGTTAATTTCATCTTCAGGAATAAACGTCATCTTAACGAACTCATTAGTTCGCATGATGCTTGTGGCTTAAAGGGCACTGATATAGAGAATAAGTCAAGCATAAAATACTTTGGTGTAGTTCCATCCTCTGACCTCTCTTTGTCTCTCCATATCCTATCGACTTCTAAGAAAATGTTCTGTCTAACTTACTGTATCAAGTAGTGAAGACAATCAAGAATCAATCAAATTCTACTTTCACAGTTTGTTTACACTTGCATCTTATCTATTGTTCTACATTGCTCCGACTTAGTCTTTCTTGGACTACTCAAAGATCACTATGTCATATTGAGAAGGAGGATATTGAAGGTTGTTAGTAGGGTAAGCTCGTCACTACTCTAGTCGACAGGCATCTACCTGAACTCTTGCGAGAAATGGTCTAAATCGATACTGTCTGACACTCAACACCCTCTCTATGATCAACCCTCACCTTCCATCTCATCATCAGGTGGAAATAGAAGTCATTATAAAAGATTATATGCTCAATTGTATAATCAATAACATAAAGATGATAGAGGGGATGAAGGAACCTAACCAATAGAGAAAATTTGTAGCTCAGTTAGATAATTTTGATGTAGTTGTGTGTTCTGTGAGCTGGATGATTTATTTGCGAAGATTTCATTGTCCTACTAGGCAACATCCACACCTCAGCGCATACTTCAATTTGTTGAAGTGACCTGTTAGATTTCTGCAACCTACCAAATTAAAGGCCCCCAACCAAAGAAAGCGTAAAAAAAAAATCGCCCTTCCATATGTCAAAGACATCTCAGAAACCACTGTAAGACTCTTCAAACTTTTAGGAATTGATGTCGTACACAAACCAACAAAATCATTTTACTCAGCTGGCTCTATGTCAACCCAAAGACTCAAAAGAGAAAGAGGATGACACTAATATCATTTACAAAATAAGTTCCAATGACTATGAAGAACACTACATTCAAAAACCTAACCAAAAGCAATAAGCACCAGTAACTAACTGTCAGTGGTAGAAGTTTAAATGAGGTCACTTCTTTCACTTATCTACACATAAGTGAGGATTTCAAAGTCAACGGGGATCGGAAAATCGAAACAGATGCTCATTCATCTGAAATCAGTGTGGTAACCTGCTGCACTCGACACAAAAAGAAAAACAAAATTCTGATTTTCAGTAGTAGTCTGGAGTCATATTAATATATATGTAAAACTTGGGCACTGTGGTAGTAAGTAATTCCATATTAGTTTGTTTATTAGATACATCACACAGTGAGTGAAACAGTATTAGAACACAAAAACTAGGTAGTACCAAGGAAAATCGAAGACAGGAAATGAAGCATATAAGAGAAGCTTTGAAACTTATTAATTACTCTGATAAATTAGTTAAGAAATATGTAGGGAAATGTAAAAATAAAATAAGTAATGATAGTAGTGATAGTGATAATAATAATAATGGTAATGACGACATGCATGTCGAACGTGCACAGGATAATGACACCACCAAAACAGAGAATATAAGTCATCAGTAATACTTCCATATAAGGGAGGAACTTCAGAAACCTTACGGCGGAGAATTCTTAACAAGGCAGGAATAAAAGTGACTGGTATTCAAACCCACAAACTCAATTAGAAACAAGCTTTGTCGGTTAAAGGATCAATCCTGTGGAGCCTTTAAAAACAACACAATTTAGTTTATCTAAAACCCTGCCTGCTATCATTGTCAGGTCAATGCATATATCAAAGTAGTAGAACAGGTACAGTCAGACTGGCGGAGTATAAAAAGCGTAGCAGCGAAATCTAGATTAGTTGACCCAAATAAGATAAGAAATCAGGAGAATAGTTCAGTTGTAGTATCACTACATGCAATTACACACACACACAACCTACAATGGGATGGGATAAGATGACAGTTTTAAAATCTAACGTAACATGGTGGAGGGAGAGATTGATGACAGCGGAAGCTTCGTTTATCGAATCAACTGAGAGAGAATACGTGTAATAGAAATGTTTCAACACCTGTTCGCCCAGGTATGTGGAAAATTCTACTACCCTTACGACGACAAATAGGTGGCATAGTGGTTAGGACTCTCACCGACCATGCACATGGTTTGGGGTTCGATCCCCTGCCGACGCATACCTGATATCCAAAATTTGGGCTACTGATATCACATGCTGAAAATTCCATACCTGTACCAAAAAGCGGTGTGGAATCAAGCTGTAATAAAAAAAAGAACAAAGAAAACTACAAAACTCAAGTTTTGAAGTCGTGTGATTATAATTGACGATATGATATGAACCACAATAAATTGTGTTCGAAACCTTGTCATCCAGTTAATAATGCTGTTTCACCCACTGTATGATACATGTAATGAACAAACTAAAATGGTGTCTGGAATCAGTTCTTCTATAGGGTACAGGAATCTGGCACGTCACGAGATGCATTTTCAGTAGACTACTGAAAACTCTTATCAATAGTTAACTCTAAGATAACCTGTCCAGAAAAGATGAACAAAAAAGGGGCTCAGGTAACGAATCATCCAAGGCCCTATCTCTTGACAAATGTGGGGAAGGAAATAGAGTTGGACTGAACACATCTCGAGGAGATTGTTAGGTAACATCACGTGACATGCCTTCGAGTGTAACCTGAATGATAATATGTGCATGGGTCCGAGGGTGATGTTGGAGGAGATCATTTGAGGAGGAATTGATCTCCATCGGAGTTTATATCAACTCTGTTTTGTAATTAAATCACTTGTCTGGAACTTGGTTCTATGAGCTAAGCTCATCATACTACCCCGTGGAGCATACTGAATTAGACAGAGTGAGATTCGAATCCAGAGTTAAGATTAATTTAGCTCTTATTATCTGTTGTTGTTTATTTTTTATTATTCAGCTGTTCTACCTTTTGTGATGGAATCATTAGAGAAGAAAGCATTTCTTAAACGGAATCCTTGGTTAGGCGCTCCTATACAAATTGGTCTAGTCGGTGTAATGTAAGTTTTGCTTCTTGTCAATTTTGTCCTTTTTTAGTAATGTCGTGTAATGGCGGTTTATTCCCTGTATTAAGTCATACTGTTGTCTTTTAGTGTGCTTGACCAGCAGCAACAACAACAGACAACAATCAGCCAGCATAAATGGAAGGAAATCCGTTACCTACTCACCTACCTGGGAAGCATCGTTTCAACTAGAGGCGGACGGAACTGATGAGGATATCAAAGCGAGGATCATCGGGAAGGCAAGACAAGCTTTTATTACCCTCAAGTTTGTGTGGAGATCAACAGCACTCAGGATAAAAAATAAGAATCGGATTTTCAACTCCAATATGAGGTCAGTGCTACTTGCGATAGGGATCAGAGGCTTGGCGCCGCGTCACATAGGGCACTTCGAACAAACTGCAGTCTTCCATTAATAGCTGTCTTCGTTCAATACTCAAGATCGGATGGGCAGAAAAGATCAGTAACAGGGATCTCTGGGAGCGAACCAACAAGGCTGAAATGGAAGTGGATTGGCCATACTCTGAGAAAACCATCAGGTGATTGACATCACACGCCAGGCCATCACTAGAATGGAACCCGAATGGGATGCGGCGATTTGGTCGTCAGTGTGAGAGTGACATGGAGGAAGTGATGCGAAAAGGATATGAGAGAATGTGGACAGACGTGGAGGCAGGTGAAAACGTTGGTGGAGAACAGAACGCAATGCAGACGTGCGGCTGAAGCCCTATGTTCCACTAGGAACCCAATGGAACAGTGATAATAATCAAATGAGACTATGCAGTGACGTCAGTTGGAGTATCACTGAAAACCAGGGAGTACTGGACAGCTGTTTCATCCTAGTCTGAGATTCTTTACCAATATTCCTCTAACTGATGGTACTGTACTTCGTGATCTAACTTAAAGTCGATCAAATCCTCGCAAACCAACACCTGGAAATGAAAAATTCTCTCGTTCATTAACTCAGATAATCATCTTGGATTTAGTTTTCAGTTTTGAAATGTGTAAATATCATATGAAATGCATTACTGTCTTCGCACATTTCTGAACGGTATGTGAATAAATAATTCCCTATGACTGAGGCAGTGTTTCAATATGTAGAATGCCCATTACCCATACACGCAGTCCAGGGTTCGATTCCGTGTTTGACGCCATGCTAGACCTTGTCTAGTTTACTAGCCAATAGTAGTAAGTTCGGGGAAGAGGGAACTGTGGGGACATGAGTCTAGCAACCCTCTCCCATAAAAAGTAACCGCATCACATGGCTACTGAAACTTCAAGTCTGCAATCCTATGCCCCACTTCGAAACACAAAGCAATGAAAAAATAATAACTGCGATACATCGAATAAACAGGCTTACTTGATATTAAACTCCTGTTTGTTCGTCTAGTACAGCTAAACTAAGGTGGCAAAATTACTTATCTAATATTGTTGGAAAAAACTGAAAGCTCAGTTTCCGACTTATCGCTCAACAGTACAACATTTCGACGATTATTCACACAAAGCAACATCCCTCGGAGAATCACTGATTAAGACGAAAGAGCATTGGGTAGCTGTTTTCTCCATTTTAGGACTGTTCATCACAGTATGCAGTCATAACCCTGCTACTCTGGTCAAACGTATGACCCTCGAATTACGAATCGATTCCTTCGACCATTCAACCATTGCGTGAGTTAGAACCCGTTCACCAATGGATTCTAACTTCTTTCAATTCACAACACAGTACCGAGGGCAGAAAATGTCATCATCGGTGATGAGACCTTGTTGGCCACAACTATTTACTAAAACTTCAGAGTTTGTGTATCCTACAGTTGGTCATGAATACTTCTTGGTATCCAATAATTCTTATATCAAACTAGTAATGTGCAATTCACACAATTCTGGGTGAAATTTTCGCACAACTTGGTGTGATCTAAATATCTGACACTTCCATTGGGCACTATTGTTTGATATGAGCGGTGTTCATCCACTCATATCAACCAATCAGGAGCATATTGAGTTATGCATCTGTAGTCCCCTTCCTGATTGCTAATCATTACATCTAATAGATGAGGTATTATGAGCTGAATAATTTTGGTTTCCATAGGAGACTGCTGTGAAATTTCACTTTGAAATGCGTAAATTACAGATTACTAATTAAATTGAGAATATGATTTAGCATGTTGTCAGTTCACCCAAGTTACTGCCTAGAATTCGGATGCTTGACATATTCATCCGGCTCTTTGACATGAGTCAAACTGATTGCAAAATGGGTGGAATACATGTCCAGTGTGTAGATCACTTTTGTCTGGCTAACAAGCACTTCTGGTTGATTTGAATGATATACAACTACTCATTTCAATCTTTAAGTAGTATTTAACCCAATGTATCTACTGAATTGAATTTTAGATTTTCCCGTCGATTGATTGGACCGAAGTGCTCAGTCTCAGGTTGACTTGTCTGTCAACTTCTTGGGCAGATGCTTCGACGATGTCTGGGCATGTAATTAGAAGTTAATTAGTGGATGGTGACTGGCAGTGGAATCCAAGATGTGCACTTCGTCCCATTCGAGACTCGTCCGCCAGCTGGATATGCCTGCACTCCCCAGTGAGTGATGATGTTCCCACCGAGGCTCAAACCCAGTACCCATAGTTTCAAACACCAAAAGCGTTGTCCACTTGGGCAACGAGAGCTGGCCACCTCTTGTGCAACGAGTCAAATTAATTATTTAATTGAATTTTAGATTTTCCCGTCAATTAACTGGACTGAAGTGCTCGGTCTCAGGTTGACATGTCTGTCGGCTTCTTGTGCAGATGGGAAAATCTAAAATTCAATTAAATAATTAATATGACCCGTAGCACAAGAGGTGGCCAGCTGTCGTTGCCCAAGTGGTCCAGTGGATAACGCTTTGGTGTTTGAAACTATGGGCTCTGGGTTCGTTTCTTGGTGGGAACATCATAACTGACTCACTGGGGAATGCAGGTACATCCAACTGGCAGATGAGTCCCAAATAGGACGAAATGCGCGTTGTCCTGGATTCCACTGCTAGTCACCATCCACCAATTAAATTCTTATGTACTCATGTTTGATTTTCTTATATTTTTTTAAAAATCACTCTCTACTATTGTTACAATCTGTTTTATATACTTGTCTGTATATAATTTTTAAAAAAAACTTTTATTCTGATATTCTAGGTTATCTCTTGTCACGCCATTGTGTTGTGCTTTATTCCCTCAAATGAGTTCAATTGCATTCCATAAACTTGAACCAGAGTTGCAAACACGTATTAAAGAAGCTCGTCACGGGAAACCACCTGCTATTGTCTATTACAATAAAGGTTTATAAAGGAAGACAATAAGAATGCCGTGTGTGTTTGTGACTGTGTGTTCATTTGTATGTAAACCAACAAATTCCAAAGTAGATCTGATATTCCTGGTCAAATCTTGTTGACATTTTTATTTTTTTTTTATTTGTTAACTTATTTGATTTGATGTGTTTGAGTGTTACTTTTTATGTAGAATGATTCAATGATTTATTTATATTTATATTTATTAACATTAGTGATCTTTTTTGTTGTCGTTGTTGAACATTTAACTTTTGTTTTAATACATTCACTTTGAAAGGAGGTCTATTTAAAAATGAAAGCTACGTTATAGAAGTTTAAATGTATCTCAACCAATAAAATGTTGTTTCAAATGTGCTATTGTCGCATTTTTTAGATGAATTTATTGAATGTAATATATACACAGGGATACTGTAGACTTCGATACCTCTAAACTGTAGTGACGCAAAACGGAACCACCAAGTGATGAAAGGATGTAATGACTTTGATCAACCAATCAGATGAGCGCGTAGTAAATGCGCGTAATTTAAAAAAGTCTTTTATAGACGTCAAAGCGTTAAAAATAGACATACAGGTTAAGTTTTTCGTGTATGTCCCAAGAAAACCTCCTAACTCCTTGTCGAAATGTTTAGTGATAGTTCAATACTATTTCTGTACATAAATTCACCCAGATAACTGTATATCTTGCTGTTTCATGAACCATTCCCTGTTTTATACAGCACCAATGAAACTGAAAAAGGAACGACATGCTGAAGCGCCGTGAGGCAGTTGGTTAGCTATACAGGCACTGTACGTTTCTAAATATCAAACAAGTACTGTAAGATAAAATTAGTTAACTAAAGTTCAACTGTAAACAAATACATCGGGAATGAGGAAAATATTTCCAACACCGTGGGATCATAAGCTCTCTTGTCCAAGTCGTATAAATATTATAAACAGATCAACCAGAAGCGATTTTCGGAACAATTTGTCCATTATAGTTACCAATGTTTATCCCCATCCCGTTAAGCTGGATTTCAATGCTATCAGCTGGTTCCATCCTGTTGCGTAGTTGTGCATCCACTGTTACCTTTTCGTAGCCAAGCGGGATAATGTTCCTTGACAGGGTATCAATAAGGAGTGCTATATAACTGAACATATATTAAACACTGGTCACTCAATATGCAAGCAGAATTCATTCAAAGTCAAAAGAAGCCCCCTGAAAACGGGAAGCTTCCGTATACTTTGCATTGCCGAGGCGTTAGTGATTCGGATAGAAAACCCTGATTGATGCACACAGAAGAAGCTTCTGCACACCCTCCTACCTTGGGTATAATTCCAAGTTCTACTACTTTGTTAATAATGCTTTTTGAACAAAGCAAGAACTACAATTTTAGCAGAATAAAATGGTATCATCTTTTATTTCGATGCCTTCTCGTCAGCTACTTACAGGGCAAAGACCTTATTAAACCTATCTACTAAAACAATTTTAACATACTTGCACAGACAGTTCATTTTAAACAAAAATCAGTCGATCACTATACGCATACACTAATAATATATATATGCAATATTAAACACTATTTCGAACAATAATAATCATACACAATGAGAAGTTTTCAGCATATCGCATTCGGATGAAAAGTATCCAGTTACCAGGCCAAAGAAAGACTGATAACCCCTTCTTTCTGAACGCATAAATCAGGTTTCAGACGCTTGATGGAAATGGCATCAGCAAACTTGATGAGAATTGAGCTCCTTTGTCTATTGATAATTTCAAAGGATTTCTCGATTTCCACCTCATGACCCGTGTCGAGGAGATGGCTGGCGATAGCACTGTTAATAGCATTTGTTCCCTTTAGACATAGGCTTTTTGGTACATGTTCAGAAAATCGTAGATATGCCCTTCTTTCTATCCTTCCAATGTAATTGCTCCCACAGATACATGTAAATTTGTATATACAGTTAGAGTTAACATGAGAAGGATATCTATCGATTTTTAACTGCACCAAAGAGCAAGCTGTTCGATGGGCGGGAACCAGTTAAGCTACTGGATAGGCTATGGCTAGTGACGTACTCAGTCTTATGTTGATCATTGCTGCAATATTTTCACCTTTATAATCAAGTTGAATGTAGATTGGCTTTTTCTCCACTGTGACTTGTTTTACATTTGAGACTTCAGATCTTCCATACTAGTTAGTGAACCTTTAAGTGTAACCATCCATTCATTAACATCGTTTTTTCTGGGTGTTTTCCATATTTCGCAACCCTCGTCAATAGTTACCAACCTTCACACACACCCCAGTCTAGTTAGGATTTGATTATTCATCACATTTTTTAAACATTGTGATGACGTGAACGTTAACCCTAACTAATTTTTATTTTTGTCTGGCAATCCTAATTTACAAACACATACACAAACTAATAATACATGTTAATACGATTGTACAGCTAAGTGTATGGATTTGCCGCCGAAAAAAGACTCTTCGCTGAACTTTTTATTCTCATATTCATGTCTGGATGTGTATTTTCTGTGAATTAACAATCAGCAAGGACCCTTTGACAGTTGGTCTGTTTCAACCAAAATCTCTTGCGACCGTTAAGTCGACAAAAAATGTGGGAAGAATGGTATAATAATACATAAAACTGGCGGCATTTTTGAAAAATTATCAATAAAGGCGGTATAATAGGTTAATAATGATAAATGGGTGATTATCCGAAAATTCCAACAGATATTTTATACTACTGATTTAAAATCAGTAGCTCAAGATTTATCAAAAATTAAATTTATCACGTCATACAAACTCAACTACAGCATGTCATTTAAACAGCATCAGATTTGATCATTTTTCGCATTTCCAGATAGTTTGAAAACAGTCAAAGGTATTCTAACAATAAAGAAAATTACAAATTTCAATTCCGTTCGAATTATTGTATGGCATCAATTTGCACTTGCTCCTTAAGGCGCATCTATAAAAATCGCTTCACTGTGCAGGTAAAACATTCGTGTACGTTACTCTATTACCTAAATTTATGTAAAACTAGAACTCTGTGGTCTGGTAACTTACATCTGAATTGTAGTCTCCCCACCTGCTATCAAATGTTTAGATGTAACCGAGATGAGGTAGCTCGTTTTACCTCCTCCTAAAGGAACAGCTGTAGGCCTCAGGCTCCGGAAAAAAGTGACGGCATTGTTTCGGACATTGCTGCGAAAAAAGGTTGCTCCCGTGACACTGCAGCTGTAACTGTCAACTTCGCATGAGAAAATTCCATTAGGACATTGTGAAATGATGGTTATAGCGAGTTTTTCTCTCAGACGGATGCAAAATGGCCTCAAGTGCGACAGAAAATTCGAAGCGTCTTGAGGACGTGTCTGGCTGTCATATCGGAGGTGTAGTTCCCTGTCACACTGCATTAAGGAAGTGGTTATAGGGCCGCTTAGAGCAGTGGATGTCTAGCTACGCCTTTCAGCAGCTGGATGCGGAAGGTCTGTATTTTACACGACCTACGAGTCAGCAGCTGTGGGCTATCTCGAGTACAATTTGGGCACCAAAATTCAGTAAGGCCTTCCTCGAAGAAATTTAAGCCGGTGAAAGTAAACCATTTACCTTCAATAATGTATCTAGGGATTAATTTCTATAGGTGCACGAATAACTAAGCAACGATCTTGTCCTCCCAAGTGTAAACAAATGCATTCCTGTTCACTTAGCCACCGTAGTTTGTGGTACACCAGCGAGAGCCAACGCTAAGACAATTGAGTGACACAGTAGGGTTATTGGCAGCAGGAAATAAATGGAAGTCTTCAAGAAGATGGAAGGTCGGGTGGTATTCAAAAATGTGGATTTTTCTCTTAGTGCTAATAATAACTACAACCAATACATCAACGAAAGCTCGCCAAGTTAACTAGCTTGCTAGTTTTCTAGACGGTCCCCAAACCGGAAAAAGAGGGAGAGTTGGGCGTGGAGCTAGCAATCCCACACCAATTAACCTATCTAACAGCTAGAGAAACTTCAAAGCACAGAACATATATTAAAAATATGAAAACTTCAAGTTACTACAATCTCATTCTTCTCCCAAATCGGAGTGGCGAAATGACGCAGGCTTGTGTAGACCCTAGGAAGCCAGTCGACCGATGTCTCTTCTCTTCTGTAATATTATGAGTTGTTGGTCAGTAATTTCACTAGTCATTTTCATGGAAGAGTCGGCTCCTATACATACACTCTAATGGGGGTGCCTACGCGTCGTCTTCCTAATTCCTCATGGGGAAATCATGTTCCTGTGATGCAGAACCTAAAATGGTGAATACTGAATTTATTACATCAACATCACTTTTTCTGAATTATCTTGTCAACAGTTGTCTCAATTTCGCACGATTACTTGGGTTTTCGACGGTAATTATACGGGGAAAAGTTCGGTTTTTTGTAATGGAACCTCTGAATCTAAGTAGGTATTTTAGTTCTGACAGAAGACACTTAGGGCTATCAAGGAGTTACCCACAGTGAAGAATTCTTCCCATTTAGAGAATCTTAACCTGGGTTTCACGAAATTCCGCTCCACCTTATTTGTTATTTGTTGTACAGCATAGGTATTAATGTCACCGCAGTAGTGCATAATCCAGTTTTCTACGGTTTCTCCCTGAAAAACTAGAAGATATGGGGGTTGGTAGTAGTTTTACTTCGTGCCAGCATATTAAGTCTTTTTCTTTACAATTTTTTCCATCCACAGGTGTTCAAGTGCTTAAGAACTTATCATGTTTACCTGGCTCAGTAAGTAGCCTCTGATTTCTTGCAGGCTGAAGTTTCCACAAAGTCACTTGCGTTCGTAGGACAGGAGATTTACTTACTCTACTGTATCCATGAGTTTGGTCTTGTAGTCACTAAAAGAGTTATGTGGCCTGTGAATGAAACTAGTCAGTAATGTAGCACTTTTAAAAAGCGTGCCGTGTATATGTTTGAATTCCCTTTTTCCTGGTCGCAGTACAGCGTGTCTACGAAAGATACGACAACCCACTCCTCTACCAGCGTTGCTGTCACACTGAAATAGTCCGTAATCATCCATGCTTACCTCCTCATTTGGCATATAAGAGTATGTAGAGGACCTAAGAAGTTTATCCATGTGGTCAACTCCCAGCCATCTCGCTTTCAGTAGCCAATTTTCTTATCCGGACTGATTGTATCAGGTAGTGGACAGTTCGTGTCTTCGAGGGACAAGTGCACAACTGGGCATTTTGGTATGATTGCTTATTTCCGTACTCACCTCATACCATCATTTATAAATGCATCCTTGAACAGTCGCGAGGGTTATTTTTTACCTTAGCTA